AGGCTGAGGCGGGTGGATCACGAGGTCAGGCGATCGAGACCATCCTGGTCAACATGGTGAAACCCCGTCTCTACTAAAAATACAAAAAATCAGCTGGGCATGGTGGCGCGTGCCTGTAGTCCCAGCTACTCAGGAGGCTGAGGCAGGAGAATTGCCTGAACCCAGGAGGCGGAGGTTGCAGTGAGCCGAGATCATGCCATTGCACTCCAGCCTGGGTAACAAGAGTGAAACTCCATCTCAAAAAAAAAAAAAAAAAAAAAAAAAAGAAAGAAAGAAAGATAAAACAACCATTGGATAATTCTCTTTCAGATGTCCTCTCATCAAAATATTTCAATTCATATGGCAGACATTGTGCCCCTCTTTTTTTCGTCTGGCACCTGAATCAACTTTAAATGACTCATCTTTGAGTAGGAGAAGGAGGAAAGAGAACACAACAGAAACTTCCATATCCAAACTGTCCTTTTCCTTTTCTTACACTCAAATGTAAAAGAGAGATCTGTTCCCCAAATTGACTACTACAAGCCAGGTCTAGAAGAATGTTTAACCAACCTTTTGTTGGTTTCTTGTCAGTTTTGGACATAAATAACTCTGATATTCAGGGAAAAACCATCTGAAAAGTAAATAAACAGACCAGTTTTACAGCTCCAGACAAACCTCCATTCATTTTTCCCTTTGTTCCACAGAATTTTGTTGAGCACCCTGTCCAAGCCAGGCATGTGCTAGGTGCCTGGGATAATTTACTGACTCAAAAAGGGAAATACCCTGTCGTATTAAGTTTTTATTATCAAACTTCAGGCAAGACTACAGAATAAATACTAAAGTTAAACATGATTTCAAAGAGATCAAATTGGTTATGGGTCTATTTCAACAGCTTTAAAAAATTGGACATGCAGCTAATAAGTAATGGAGCCTATAGTCAAGCCAGATTCCACAGTCAGTAGTATCCTTAATCACCACTGTATCTTGATGAATAAACCAAACACATATTGGGTAGAGTAGAGACCTGTGTGTAAAATGAATAAACTTTGGCATGAGTCATCATTCCTTTTTATTTTATTAGCTTTGTAAGGATTAGATTAGACTGATGGATTTTCTTTAAGAGCATACCGCCACAGTCCATGGAAGCCAGAATCAAATATACAACAAAGCTAAGCTGCTGAGGCCTTGTCCATCGCAGGTTAAAGCCGCTATAATTTTCTGCATAAAGACAGAACCACCAGTGTGTGTTCAATAGCCTAAACCAACAATTATATCCATACATGTGAAAATTCAGCCTGTCCTTTAATTCTTTCCTAAGCTGAACTGTCAATTATTGACTGTGGCTTTAAACTCAGGATAGTTCAGTAGCTGGTTGAGTGACTAGCTAAACCACCCTTCAGGAAAATTGAATTAGTTAAGAGAAGAAAAGCAGTAAGACTTGCAGGACTGAATAGTGCCTTGGAGGTTACCTGATTTGACCTTTTCCCCTTAGCCTGGAGACACACACACACACACACACACACACACACACACACACACACACAGACACAGACACATAACACCTGTCCAGGACGAAAATCCAAATGTCTTGACAATATAATGTCTTTGAAGGTTGATAAGCCACTATATATCTTCCAAATCCTTTCTTTTCTTTCCATTTCTCCTGGCAGCAAGCATCACATCTTTGAGACTTCTTGCCTGCTAAGAGGTGACTTGCGTCCTGGCTTACCCTAACACTGCTAGAATATTTGTAAAGCTTGATTTTGATATTTTACCTCCTCTGTTCAAAAAATCTTCCATGTCTCCTATTACTTGGGAAATAACAAAATCATTAGTCCAGCATCCAAAGCCCTCAATCATCCGATTCTCTTTCTTTCCTTTCCATTTCCCTTTAGTGTAACCCTTAATCCAATCAACTCAGCTACTCACCCTTCTTTGTGTGCATTCCCTGAGTTTTCTTGCCTCTTTCCCTTTGCTCCTGCTGGTCCTTCTCTCCTGCATCTCTGCCCTGGGTATCCAAATCAAATCTCATTCAAGTCCCAACTCAAATGCCAATAAAACTTTTTCAGAGCCCTCTCAACTAGGAGTCATCATCTCTCTGTTTTTCTCTTCCATATTTTATCATAATCATGGACAGTTAATCTCTTCCCACCAGACTGTAGGCCTCTTAGGGGAAGGAACATGCTTAATTTCTCTCTTCACTGCCACCATAGTACCTTGCCCTTAATATTTGTTAGAATGGTAAATTAATGAATATATTAAGAATAATGCATCTTTTAACGTATGTGTGTGTGTGTTTTCTGTTTTTGTTTTTGTTTTTTGAGACGGAGTCTCGCTCTGTTGCCAGGCTGGACTGCAGTGGCGGGATCTCAGCTCACTGCAACCTCCGTCTCCCAGGTTCAGGCAATTCTCCTGCCTCAGCCTCCCAAGTAGCTGGGACTACAGATGTGTACCACCACGCCCAGCTAATTTTATTTTTTGTATTTTCTTAGTAGAGATGGGGTTTCACCATGTTGGCCAGGATGGTTTCCATCTCTTGACCTCGTGATGTTTTTTAAATCTACCAATGATGCTAATTATACCTTTTGTTTTTAACTAGGAAGAAAAAAAACATAAATGATTGTGAAAAGACTGCCTTTAAAATAATTTCCAGTTTTTAAAATTATTTCACTTATATCACAGATACAGAACGGCCTGAAAATGTTCCCTCTAATCTCTATTCTAAAATATATATATACACACACGTGTGTGTATATATATGTATATGTATATATATGTATATGTGTGCGTACATATATACACATATATGTGTGTGTGTGCATACATATATATATATTTGAGATGGAGTCTCGCTCTGTAGCCCAGGCTGGATTGCAGTGACACAATCTCAACTCACTTCAACCTCCATCTACCAGGTCCCAGTTAAAACAATTCTCCTACCTCAGCCTCCGAAGTAGCTGGGATTGCAGGCACTAGCCACCATGCCCAGCTAATTTTTGTATTTTTTAGTAGATACAGGGTTTCACCATGTTGGCCAGTCTGGTCTTGAACTCCTGACATCATGATCCGCCTGCCTCAGCCTCCCAAAGTGCTGGGATTACAGGGGTGAGCCATGACTCCCGGCCCTAAAATATTGGTTATAAAAGTCTTTAAATTTGGCTGGGCATGGTGGCTCACACCTATAATCCCAGCACTTTGGGGGGCTGAGGCAGGCGGATCACGAGGTTAGGAGATTGAGACCATCTTGGCCAACATGGTGAAACCCCATCTCTACTAAAAATACAAAAATTAGCTGGGCACAGTGGTTCATGCCTGCAATCCCAGCTACTTGGGAGGCTGAGGCAGGAGAATCACTTGAACCCAGGAGGCGGAGGTGGCAGTGAGCCGAGATCGCACCACTGCACTCCAGCCTGGCAACAAAGCGAGACTCTGCTTCAAAAAAAAAGCTCTTTAAATTTGCTTCAGTTAATCATAAGACAATAATACTTTAGAAAGAAAAGATCTTGAGAAGTCAACTCATTCAATCCCCACTCCCAACCCATATATAAAATCTCTCAGGAAAACAAGAATTCATCCTATCTTAAGGATCTCCTAAGACATTGCACAGAATTTTTGGTATTTTATCTCAATGTCTCTTAAGCTTCCCTGTCACAGTGTTACTCCATAATAAGTGAAATACTGAGTAACTTGTGCTATTATTTCGTCTCTTGAGAGGTGGTATCACATAGTGGTTAAGACACAATTCTGGAATTACAGGTATGAGCCACTGCGCCCAGCTGACACAAAGTTTCTGAAGTCAGACTTCCTCTCTGCCATTGGGAAAGTTATTTAACCTTTCTTTGTCTCAGCTTCTTCATCTGCAAAAGGGAATGATAATAGTACATATTCATAGAATATTTGAGAAAATTAGATGAAATCATATATGTATTTAGAAAAGTGTCCAAAACCAGCTGGGTGTGGTGGCTCATGCCTGTAATCCTAGCAGTTTGGGAGGCTGACGTGGATGGATCACTTGAGGCCAGTAGTCCAAGACCAGCCTGGCCAACATGGTGAAACCCTGTCTCTACTAAAAATACAAAAATTAGCTGGGTGTGGTGGCATGTGCCTGTAGTCTCAGCTACTCGAGAAGCTGAGGCACAAAAAAATCACTTGAACCCAGAAAGCAGAGGTTGTGGTGAGCCAAGATCACACCACTGCACTCCAGCTTGAGAAACAGAGCAAGATTCTGTCTCCAAAAGAGAAAAAAAAAAGTTAACTTTGGTTGGGCATGGTGGTTCAAGCCTATAATCCAGTACTTTGGAAGGCGAGGCAGGCAGATTGCTTGAGACCAGGAGTTTGAGACCAGCCTGGGCAACATGGAGAAACCCTGTCTCTACTAAAAATACAAAAATTAGCTGGGTGTGGTGATGCATACCTGTAATCCCAGCTACTCGGGGGGCTGAGGCACAAGAATTGCTTGTACCCAGAAGACGGAGGCTGCAGTGAGCTGAGATCACACCACTACACTCCAGCCTAGGCAACAAAACAAGACTCTGTTGCAAAAAAAAAAAAAAGAAAGAAAAGAAAGGAAGGAAGAAAAGGAAAGAAAAAAAAGTGTCTGAAACCTAGTAAATGACATATAAATGTTGCTATTAAAATGTTTTCTTATTTTACTTTGATACAGATAGATAATAACTGGATACTTGGTCTTTCATACATGAAAATTTTAAATAGTCTTTTTCTTGGCTGAAGAATCAAGTACCTTTATCTTATTATTTAATAATCAGATGAATTTTCTAATCTTTACAAAAGTCTTTTGGTTCTTCATCTTAGTACAGTAAAGAGGGTTGTTTTGGTATTTTGCTATTACAACAGAGATCTTTGAACCAAGCCTCTAGAAGTCTTATCTATTTAATAGCTATCTTCATACTAGGCACAACAGGCATATAACGTTGCATAAGATTGGCAAAGGCCCTGCCTTCATGGAGCACACCAGTTTTGCTCATAGAAACAAACTCTTTACCATTAACCAAATCACTTACCACTATTTCGAATTCTTTCTTCCAATAGGTCAGAATGCCCAGATGGAAGTTTCTTATTGAAAATCTCAGCTGAACGAAGGAACATAGCTTCAACTGCAGACCCTTTCAGCAAAGCAATCTGGTCTTCATGGTCCAAAGTTTGAAATCCTAGGTAGTGGTGATAATCAAATTGGTATCAAGAAGTAACAATATTTTATGATCACCATCATTGCCCTTGATAAAACATTTTCATCAAGTGATTTTGTGGTTGTTTTACAATTGGGTAGTCTAGTTGAGTCCATTTGTACTCGCCGACAAAATAGAGGCTTTGTCTTCATTGGGCAGAATTTATTAAACAAACTGGGCAAAGGGAAATGTCAAGTCCAAGCAGATGCTATATTGTGGCATAGACAGACTTATTCTGATGGAGAAACCCTCAGAAACTAGACACAAGCAGATTTTCTTAGAGCCATTATGTTAATCACATCTGATGTGACAGGGTCAACTCTGCAGTTTAGAAGCATCTACAAGCCAGGAAAAAAACTTTATATGCACCCAGATTATTTGGCTAGCTCATGAGTCTTTAGTCAATCTAAAGAATGGGTAGTATACCCACCCCCCACCTCGACAAAAAAAAGCCAGTCAAAGTCATGTTGATATACCTGCTCTGAACTCAGTACTGCAAAACACAGTGGAGGAAAATCAGAAAAATATGGGAAGAATTGCCAACCTGATGGAATATAACACTGCCTGGAAAATTCAAAGTCCTTATATAGGCTTATATGGTACAGTCCCATCAGCCTTTCTGAACTCATTTTCTACTCCTCATTCCCTCTACTCTTTGTGTTCTAGCCACACTGACCCCCTGGCCCTGCTGTGAGCACACAAGCCTGTTTTTGCCTCAGAGATGAATGTTCTTCCCAGATATTCCCATGTCCCATGCCCCACTCAATCCTGCAATCAAGCCTCTGTTCCAGCATTCCCCAATCTAAAATACACTCCCCAGCACTACTAGTCCCTACCTGCTTTATTTTAGTTTATAGAACTTATCACCACCTGAGATGATATTATAGATTTATTTGCTTATTTGTTAATTGTCTGCCACCTCTACTGGAGTGTACAGTTCTTGTGGGGCAGAGGCTTTGTTTCGTTTTGTTTACTTTTGTATCCCCAGTTCTGATACATAATAGGTACCTAGGAATTATGTGTTGGATAATTGACAGATTGAATGAATGAATGGGAAACAAAATACAGGCTCATGTGCATGAAAGCACACACGCTCACATGAATAGAGATAACACCATCAGGGCCTAAATGGCTTAGAAAAGAACTAAATAGCAAAGAGTGTATAGAGAAGAGAGCAACGCTAAGGATTGAGCCACCATCCTAGAGAATCTAAGAGCTTCTTTGAGGAAAGGGGCCCTGCCTTATTCCCCTTAGCACCCTGGACAGTGCCTGGTACATGCTGTGCTCAAAGAACACTGAATGGAATGACTCAGTTCAGTTTTTCACAAAATATCCCTTCAGTATTGGTATTATATCACTAATATTACTACTTATAATAATGCTATCTCTGTAATTACTATCATTTTTTCCTTCTCAAGGGTTTTTTGCCTTGTATTTCCTTCCATATTTTAGATTTTTTCCTTCTGCTTTACTCATTGAATACACTAATTGTACTCCCTCCCTCAGGAACTAGGCTAGGCACTAAGAATTAAGAGATGCTAAGCTATTGTTATTGCTTTCAGATAACCTACCTTCTTATGAATAAGGTTTTTATTTGTCTTCAATTATTTCTTGATTCAAGACCAACTGACCATTAGAACTGAAAAAATATTTTCCCATAAATAACCAAAACATCTCCCTTTTCCAGTTCTTTCCCCTGCAGTTTTTATGCTGATATAATCCAATTTTTTTATTGAGATTGCCTTCAGCTTAATTAGCATGCAGTAAATTAAATTCCTCTTTCATTTTTAATAAAGCAGTGACAGCATATTAGTGTTTCAATGATAGAACTTTCTCCTCACACTTTATGAGTTTTATGCAGGCCTATGCCTATCTGTGACACATTTAATAAAATAATAGCATAATGCTGGCAAAAAGAAGGCAAATTAACATGTTTAATTAAAATCCTATGTCAGAAGTTATCCTTTGTAATTTAATATAATAGTATTATGCTGCTATACAAGGTATTGATTATACTTTTCTAGACCATGGGATTTCAATACACCAACACTTTTATAAACGCTAAAACAACTGAAACCCATTAGCTTAGATAGCATTAATAATGTGGCAAAAGGAATATGAGGCTGAGATATAAGAAGACGCCCACATTCTAGTTTCTATACTGACACCATCAGAATGACTGTGGACAAGTAAGTCCCTCTCTCTCAACTTACATATATAGCTGTTCCTCAAGCCCTATCATTTTTTGAATCTTTCTTCCTTTTGTTTCCTCTTCTCTTCCCCATTGCTATTACTTTATTTCAAGCCCTATTGCCTGGACTTGTGCAGTAGCATACTACCTGATCTTCCCTGCCCCAGGCCATTTCCATTCAAATTCATCTTATATAAACCTGATTAAGTCATTTCTGTATACAAAAATTTCATCATTTCCCTATGTTAAAAAAAAAAAAAAACCCACCAAAATCTCTATACTGTCCAGGGGCACAGATTAAATTCCTTAGTTAGGCCTTTATCAGTCTGGTACCAACTTTACCTTATTGTCTAATCTAGGAGCCCACCACAGACACTATGCTACAACCATACTGAATTTTCTCTTCCATCTCAAATAATCCTATTCTTGTTCATGCCTCAGTGCAGTTTAACAAACAGATCTCTTGGCCAGGCATGGTTGCTCAGGCCTGTAATCCTAGCACTTAGGGAGGTCAAGGCAGGCAGATCACCTGAAGTCAGGAGTTCGAGACCAGCCTGGCCAATATGGTGAAACCCTGTCTCTACTAAAAATACAAAAATTAGCTGGGCATGATGGCATGTTCCTGTAGTCCCGGCTACTCGGCAGACTGAGACAGGAGAATTGCTTGAACCTGGGAAGTGGAGGTTGCAATGACAGAGATCATGCCATTGCACTTCAGCCTGGGCAACAGAGTGAGACTCCAGCTCAAAAAACCAAATCAAAACAAAAACAAAAATACAAGCAGGTCTCTCAACTTGGAATGCCCCTTCTCCATGCCAACTGGAAAACTTCTTTTTCTTTTAGACTCAACTCAAATATGACTCTCCCTGAAGTCACTCCATCTTTCATAGACACAATTAGCAACCAGTTCCTCTCTGTTCATACAGCACTTCATGTGTATGTGTATGTATGTGTATTTACTACTATTATTATTATTATCACCTTTAACCACTCTCCCTGGAGGTAATAGCTAGGCACTTAGTATAGAGTAGGAATCAACAACTTCTTATTGAAGGAATAAATGAGTGAATGATGACTTTGCAAAGTTTCAATTTTTAATCTATTGATTTGGAAGAACTATTATAAATTATCTTAAGTAACCTTTCCAGTTCTAACATCTTATGTCTGTAGTAATTAGACACGTTAATTTAAATCAGACATGAGATGGTTTTCATCTTACAAAGAAGAGACCTGCCTGTCTCAATGTCACAAGACTATTGCAGAGTATAGCAGCGAAATAAGTACATGTGAAAATACTTGGCAAAATAATCCTGAAAAGAGATCTGATCTCACAGGCATGTTTTGAAAATTCAACAAAACACTGTATGTAAAATAGATAATCTAATCTGTGACAAATATTTAAACTCTTGATAAATATTAACTTTTATTATAAAATACCTGGCAGCTTTTTTGTGAATTCTACAAGAACTTGTACATGATTGGTTGCCATTTCCGTTAAAATGAGAAAATTTTCTTCTGCATTGAATTCTTCTTTTAACTAAATTTTAAGGAAAAAAACACAAATGATTAATAAGTAGATAAGAAAACAATAATTAATATAAAACCATTAGACTAAAGAAAAACAAAGTTTAGATGCTAAAATTTGAAAACCCATCTTACTATTTCTCAGATCTTTGGAGAGCAATTATCATTATCAAGATAGATAGGAGACTTCCTCTTGAATTGTTTAATATTCCTAAGAGTTTAAAAGAATTCTCAGCTCTAATCATTTCAAAGTTACATATTCACATATAAATTGTATCTCCAAGGCAATAAGAGCTCCAGAAAATATTAACTTTAAACCCACATATTTTCAGATATTATACATACAATTTTATTTGTTATTTCCTGAGGCATCCTCTGTTTGCTATATGAATCCATAATATAATGTAGAAGATTCTGTTGATCTGGGGTGAGTTCAGTTTTCTCCTACACTGGCAAGAAAATAAAAGGTGTTAGGGAAGGTGTGAATAAAGCCTTCTTTCTATGTGTGCATTCATCAGGAGGGACATAATAGCAGAAATTACTGAAAAAAAAATCCATAAATACAGCAGAAAATATGAGCTCTAATATAGTGTATAATTTCTTTCTCAGAATCCTTGGGCATGCCATCTCACATTTCACTAAATTTTCCTATATGTAAAATAGTGATAATAAAATATTCCACTTGTATATTTCTCAGGAGTAAATAATAGTCCAGATATGAAGACTATTGAGCTCATTTATGTTGAAAGTCACTTAAAGTTCAAGCTTTAATTATAACCAATGAAAAGTTCTCATATAGTATGACTACTATGGATACTACATTCATATAGTATTGTACATGAATTCCACCTGGAGAAGTCATCCAAGAGTATTCATGTAGAGAAGGGACCAACAAACTACAGCCCATGGACCAAATCTATTGGATTTTATAAAGTTTTATTGAAACACAGTTACACTTATTTGTTTGTATATTGTCTATGCTACTTTTGCACTAAAGGGGCAGAGTTGAGTAGTTGTTGTAGAGACCATGTGGCCAAAACCCTTTAAAGAAAAAAGTTTGTCAACCTCTAAAATAGAGAGTCAACAATCTGGACAATTCAGACCCCAAACATCTCTTTCTCCCTCTACAGCATCTTTTGAAGAATGTGAATAATTTTGTCAACTCTTTGCTTTCTTATACCAAAGTGCTGATAAATCACTATAGCAAAATAATGCTTTTATATAAAATATTTTTCTTAAATAAATACAAAATTACATACTTGTAAAACTAAATATGGATAAAGTTTTCTTTGTCAATAATGTAATAAATATTGAGAAGGGTATGGTTTGAACAATCATATCTTATTAGTTTTTCAGCTAATAACAGAAGAACATTCCATCAAATGTTCTGTGCATTATCACAATGTGTTTGACTAAACATCTTGGAGGCTGTTCCCTATTTTGTCCTAAGTTGCTCAATGGATTTCTTGAAAAATTTGTGACCTCAGTGGGTAGGACTTTTCTCTACTGGTCCACAGATGTGTATTGTATTCATTCTGTTTTATACATTTATAAGGACTAATCCACAACCTCTACTGAGACCACATCCTTCCCAGTTTGAGCCTTTCTTCTCAAAGAGAGAGAAACAATGGTCATCCAAACTCGGTTGGAAAAAATCCATTTGATACACCAAATAATTCCTGCTGGAAAACAGTAGGTATTAGGACTGGAATGAAGTCAAAGAGAAGGAAAACTTTCACTTTTTAGTTTATGCACTGCTATTATTTGAACATTTACATCAAAGCATGTATTAGGAATCCATTTTAATGAACAATTGGACTAGAAGTTTTGCTGTGCCTGTGGCTTTAATTTGAACGTCTCCTGGTCAGCTCACTATGTACCTAGAAACTCACTTCCTGCCAGTCTTGGCAGACACCATTGCATATTATTACCCTGCATGACTTTGTTGTTGAGGTCACTTGTCGTAAGTCACGACCTTCACCGTCTTCATTCGTGGTCTGATCTGCATGCTGCTTCACATTTTTTCTCAGTCGTTTAGATTTACACTGAATTTCAGTTAACAAGCCTAAAAAAATAAACACAGAGACTTCATCAATCACAGAAAGTACTATTGGGTGTGTGGTCATAAAACCACTGATATTACCTGGCCCAGAAGATCCCCTATGCAATGGCATAAAATCAGTTCTAGCCCTTTATGCATTTTAAAAAGAGAAGGTCAAGGTTTGAAACTTAACCTTGAACATGTAGTTTAACGTCCGTGAGTCTCAGTTTCCTCGTGTAAAATGAGAATAATATCTACCTCATAGAGTTTTGTGTAGATTAAATGCAATCAGGTCATGTTTTTAAATGGGCTTTATATAAAGAACTTGTGATATGAAAGCATTGTACAAATGCAAGGTATTCAGTCAATGAAAAGGTGAATGACACTCTCCCTGGTCCTGCCCTAGGGGACCTTGAAAGTTTGTGTTTTAAAACATCCCATTAATATTATTTTCAGCCATGTTTACATACTGTACCACAAGAAGGATATTGAATTTCACATTAAGCACACATAAACTTATTGAGAAAACAAATGTTAACATCCTTTAGGGAAAATTGTTTAATCCTGTTAATTTTCAGAACAGTGCCAATTCTTGAGAATATAGTTAAAAATAAAAATAACCCAAGTTGACTTTAAAAACTGTCTGAATGATCATACAATCAACCTCATTGATTTACACTTAAAGAGAGCTATAAAAAATAATGTAAAACAATCTTCCCTTCATCCCATTTAATGTCCTTACTCTTCTCTCAATGCCAATAAAACTAAGTTCCAGGAATTTCTTTGTACAGGGAATTTATTTTATAGAACCATAAAATATCTGCATCAGTTACTGTACAAGCTTGTGTCTGTAAATATAGACTGCTACCTGTGGCTTCATGCAGAATGTCCTCAAAGCTCCAGTTGGAACAAGTTCATATTTAAGTGATAAGCAATATGAGCTGTATAGGGTCAGAGTAAGTGTTTCCATTGCAAGATTGGATTCCAGCAGCAGCCCCTATTGCAGGCTCTTGTTTCATGTATGCTAAGATGAGATTGTGATCAGCTACTATAAAACTTTCATCCACCCACAACTGGATTATTTACACAGACCTATTTTCCCCCCACCTGGACGCATTATTTCCCTGGGTCCATCCCAGTTGCCCGTACAATTTGGTAACAATAGAATTGGAGTCACCTTCTAAAGGCTTTTATTTCATGTGGCATTCCCTGCCTGAATGCTATCATCCCCTTGGTGACATTTGTTTGTCTATTTGTGTTTTGAGGAGAAACAGGACATATCTCAGAATCTGAGTGGTCTGTAGAATTTTTGCAGAATGAAAAATTAATTATGTTATATACTCGCATGCATTCCAATTTTTGATGAAGATTACAGTTCCTCACAAAGCCAGCAGTTAATACAGTGTCTCGTTATCAGATAGAAGGACAAAATTATATTAAAACTGGGAGTAGTTAATTTCCGGTGTAAACCTATACAAATTGGTTCAAAACTGCACTAAGAGAAGACAGATTCTTAATAAAATGACTTGGTTTAAAACTCTATTTAGACAATTCAGATGCGGTTATACCTTATAAAGCATTCTTATTTTTTTCTACAACAGTGAATCTGTATGTTAATTAAGCAATAAATAAAAAGTATATTAAAATCAAATTTAGAGGAAATATTTAGACTGTCATTCTTTGTAGCTCATTAAAGCATGTTATTTTAACAGAATGTTAATGCCACTAGGGTCCAAGTATAGTTCACTGCAACAAAGAACAGCAACAACAAAGAAAACAGGCGTTTCTTTTGCGTGACTAAAATGCTCTTTAGTTGACAGTTCAGACAATTTCAGTGGTTCATTACCCTTTTCAAGAACTTAGATGGCTTACTAGATTCCTTCTTTAATATGTGAAGTAGCACTCTCGTGATGAGTTACCTGACATCTGTCTCCTTAAGAGATTTTTAGTGAAATGTAATTGCTTGAAGTGGATACCTGTATACATACATTCAGCCAACATTCCCATCTCTTTGCATTTCCTTAGTCGACACTCTTGACACTTTCTTCGCATGTACATATCCATCACACAGTTGCCCCCGTTTTTACACTTGTACACAGCGTTTTTGGTAATGCTTCTCCTGAAGAAACCTGTGGGGAAATCACTGAAAAGTATAAAAAGCCCTCTTACAGCTTCTCAGGAAAAAAAGCACGTTTGGATTGGGAGATGTCAGGACATTTTCTCACAAACTGCTAGGGAGCACCCAGGTCATCTTTGAGCATACCAGTGACAAATACTTTATATGACACTGTGTTGTCGAGGAGGCTGCTGTTTTTAATTTATCTCTCAGAAATAAAGACAAGTTTGAATTATAGCCTCTCTTAAAAAATGTGAATTTGTTTTCTAAGATAAATTGCTTTCATAGATCTTTACTGGAGGGATAATTCTATGCCAATGAGTGCTAAGTGTTGACGGTACAAAGTCAAACAAGAGTTTTAAGCCTGGCTGAGGACAAAGACACACAAACAGCTAAACAAGTGAAATTACATGTTGCATGGGCTCTAAAAGCTGCACTGTGGCAAAGCAAACATACAGACTCCTCAGTTTGGGGTGAAGAGGTCAGGACAGGAAGTGAGCATTGAGCTAAGTTTTGGAAAGTGAGTTGCTGTTAACCAGGCATTCAAGGAGAAAATTGCACTGAAGGTTTCAATTCAGTACTTAATATGCCATCCTGGCCTAATAATAAAAATGCCAACCTTGAGCTAAAAGCACACATCTCCCCCGAGAAGGCATAGCAGGCTGTTAACAGGTAAGATGCCTAGAGTGAAGAAGGGAGGTAACTGGCTTCAGCTCTGCTTCTGCATTTCCCCAATTTCTGCTTTTTCCTCCATCTGACTAACCATAGTTCCTGACACTTACAGAGTTGAGGAGAAAGTGTTGCATATTGAGAGGACTATGAGAGATAAGAGAAAAAATGACAGGAAGGCGCTTACTTGCGTAGTATTGCCATCAACTGGTTTGTGCATAGCAAGTTTTCAAAGTTGACTCTTTCTCCATTAGGTTGGGTCCTTTAGAACATTTTTTTTTTTTTTTGAGACAGAGTCTTGCTCTGTCGCCCATGCTGGAGTGCAGTGGCACAATCTTGGCTCATGCAGCCTCCACCTCCCAGGTTCAAGTGATATTCTTGCCTCAGCCTCTGGAGCAGCTGGGATGACAGGCGCCACCTACCATGCCCAGCTAATTTTTGTATTTTTAGTGGAGATGGGGTTTCACCATGTTGGCCAGGTTCATCTCAAAGATCTGCCCACCTCAGCCTCCCACAGTACTGGGATTACAGGCATGAGCCACCGTACCTGGCCTCATCTGAACTTTTTTGATAAGGGCAAATACGTCTCTAGTCTAGCCTATGGTATGTGGTCCCCTTCAGCATCTAGTAATTTGGCAATTCACTCCACAGTTTTTACACGGAGGTGACTCCATGTGGTTCTTTTGACATGGACTTATGATAACCCCATAATGGCTTTCTCTGATCTAACAATCTCTGTGGAGCAGAGAAATCTCTCCCACTTATCCATTAGCAGTCAGCCACCTGGCTTTCTGCCTTTCAACTTCTCAGGTGAAAATCAGACACAAAGTCCCCATGTCTGTCAGCTTCAGGGGATACATGCCAACCTACTCAAGTGATCGTCTTGAAGACTCTTTCTTTGGGCTTGGGGCAACAGGACCTCCTTTAGTATATATTTTGGAAGCAAGAGGAGAAACCATTTTCCAATTCTCACAAAGTTACTACACGTTCCAGTGGCGGCCTGAGGGATAGACACTCCCAGTTCCAACACTCTCCTTTGCAGTAGGGATGTAAGATTCACACAGTACGCTAGTCATATGCTCCAAAATCTTTACAAGACCTCTTACAATTTCCAACTCCTGATCTCTTCATTTCCTCAAAATAAGTGAAATGTTTAACTGGTTCTTGAATATTGAATATCCACTGTGAAATTTCTGCCAGATGGGCTCACCTTGGAATGTAAACTCTAGTGTCTTCATGCCTCTGTCAAAATTGAGATTTTAACAGACTGTTGGAATAATATCTAATATTTATTAAGCACTTAGTTGCTATTGTTTGAACTACTTTACCTTCATTTACTGATTTAATTCTCACATCAATTTTATGATGAAGATAGCATTATTTGTCCCCATATTATAGATGAAGAAAAAAAGGTACAGAGAGTTTAAGTACCTTGGCCATGATCACATGGTTAGTTGTCGGCCAGGAAGGTTCAAACGCAGGCAGTCGTGCACTAAAGCCTGTACTCTTAACTACTACATTACAAATGCCACCCTTGGATCACAAAAGAGTAAAATAATTTACTGTTAAGTACCAACTATCTGAAAGCTGCATTCTCTGACCTGGGAAATACCAAGATGAATAAGACATTCCTTGTCTTTAGAGTTGCATACTTAATTGGAATAAACAGAAGTAAATTTACAGCATAATACATAATATGAGTGGTAATATAGTCAACAAATAATAAATTATTGGAATATAGAAGCAGGTCCATACCATATCCTTGTAAACGTTGTGCCACATTTGAGGAGGAGAGGCAGCAATTGCATCGCACCCATGTAGAGCTGCATATTTCTTATGACAATTTTCCAACAGAGGACACTTAAAAATTGTTCTAACAAGGTAAGTATAATATGATGATTTCCCAACTGCTAGAAGTCAAGCACATTGTGTAGACTGGGAGTGATCCTGATTAATTCAGAGTAGCCAGACAGAATCAGGGAAGGGTCTGTGAAGGAAATAGAATTTGATCTGGGCCTTAAAGAATAAGTAAGGCTTTAGAAACATAGCCCATGAGAGAGGAAAGACATTCAGAAAAATGAGCAAACACGGGTGTTATGAAAATTCCAAAAAAGGGTAGATACTCCATCTTGGTGGTGGTAGGGTAGAGTGCAGAGAGAACTAGTGGGAGATGGTAAGCAGTGGTAGTAGGAGCAGAATGTGAGTACGTGTCCTTGAATGCAAGGCACAGAAGTTGAGTCTTTGCCATATTGAAAGAGAGACACCATTAACGGCTTTGACAGGGGAGAGTATGACCTAACCTGTATGTTGGGAAGCTCCTCAGAGCAAGGTGAAGAAACGTGGAATGGGTATTAGAGACAGGAGACTATTGCCATAATACAACTGAGAGGCAACCAATGCCTGAACTGAAGTGGGATAGAATAGAAAGGAGGAAACAGAGACAACATCAGGTTGGTAACTCATGAAATATAAAAACAGAGGCTTAAGGAAAAGTTAGAGCTGTCAAGGTTAAGAAAGTCATGGACTTGCTTGTGAATTTGTCAGCTGGTGTAAATTTCAGTAGGAAAGATCTTAACATTTTCCTAAATGTCAAATCCAACCAAATAAAGTCTAAAAAAAGACTTTGTGCTACAGATAAGTGTTGATATTGAGAGAGCAAATACCAAAGCGTGCATTTTAAAAGACTAAAAGCAAAAAGAGGACTTTTTTTCCTGATGCCAAATCATGACCTCAATGTCCACTTGAGCCTACATGAGTCAGTCCTCCTACTAATAATCTTCTGCCCCTCCCAGGAATGATTTCCTTTAAAACTGTCATAGATACTGACAGACAGCTTAATAGTTAACAGATCTTTCTTCCAAGATGAGTCAAAGGAATGGTGCCGTGCGTAGAACCATTCTGCAGGGTTTATTGACTCTGGTATTAACTGAAAAAGAAATCATTATCATCTCAATAGCTGAATTAATTAGCTTTCACTCTGAGATAGCAACACAATATTATCATTATATCATTTAAATATGGGTACATATACTGTATTTGTGCTTATGCAAATCTATCCATACACATACCTCTGCCTCTGTCTTGCTCTTTCTTGTGCATATTCAACAATGCTCATATCAGAAAAGTCATTTGAAAATGAATGGAAAGGAAATTCACTGAGGAACAGAGACTTGCTGGTAATACAGGATGAGTAGACAGGGTTGGCATTGCCATCTGGGGAATGTGTAGCACCAGTGGGATCCCTGGGGTAGCAAGCAAATAGCTAGAGGATGGTATTTCTACATGCATTACTCAATTCTGCAGAATATTGCACACTCTGCTTTTCTCTTCTTTTTTTTTCTGAGATGAAGTCTCGCTCTGTCACCCAGGCTGAAGTGCAGTGGTACAATCTCAGCTCACTGGGTTCAAGCAATTCTCATGATTCTTTATACAGGCGGAAGCCACATACCACACCCTATTCTCAAGTCATACACACATGTACATACACATCCACACACCAGACTCCAGTGGCTGATACTGGTAGCCACTGATACTAGGCTACCCATTACTTTGCAATCAATAAAATAATGAGTGATGTTGTCAAACTTTAAGGGTCTGCAAGCTTTTAAAATAGCAGCAAACCCACAGAGGTGAGTAGCTAGAGATCTTTCCATATAAGATGACCTAAAGAGAAATCGTTTCTAGGTCTGTCTCCACTTATATAGAACTTATTTTGTGCCAGACACTGTTCTAAAATGGTAAATGGTAGTTCATTTCCTATTCATAACAATCCAGTGAGGCAGATGCTATTATTATCTCTTTCTTACCAAAGAGGAGACTGAGTTACGAAGAAGTTAATTTGCTCAAGGTCCAGCAGAAAGCAAATGGTAGAGTTCAGATTTAAACCTTGATGGGCTCACATTCTGTGCTCTTTTTATTTTTTATTTTTTTAGACAAGGTCTTGCTCTGTCGCCCAGGGTGAAATGCATAGTGCAATCATAGCTCACTGCAGCCTGAAACTCCTGGGCTCAAGCGATCTTCTCATCTCAGCCTCCTGAGTAGCTGGGACTACGGGTATGCACCACTATGCCCAGCTATTAATAATTTTTAAATTTTTTGTAGAGACTGGGTCTCACTCTGTTGCCCAGACTCATCTCAAACTCCTGGTCTCAAGCAATCTTCCTGTCTCAGTCTCCCAAAGTGCTGGGATTACAGGCATGAGCCACCATGTCCAGCTTACTTTGTGCTCTTAACCATCTTATCCTGTCTTTTTAGTAGGAAGTTTACATTTAAAAAAAATTTTCTTGAGACATAAATCTCCCCATGTTTCACACAGCATGGCAAGTGCCCAGCTCACAACAGAAT